AAAAAAAAAAAAATTAATGTTTCACTCAACTTAAATTTTTTTAATTTCCGACTTTAAAAATTACAATCCTACTGTTTTTTTCGAAATTCCCGCGCTAATCTACGAGATAGCATCCGAATAGTCAATGGTCATCGGTCGATTACCGGTGCGCTCGTGGCAACTTTTCAACGCCTCTTTCCTTCTCAAAGTGCTTAATCGAATCAAAGTTTGCAACTAAATTTCAGGAACGATAACACCCAGCAAAACATGTGATTTGAGGTTATGTTTATTTGTTTACCTTGAGGACAATCGGAACGTTGGCAACGAAACGTAAAAAGTTTTGGAAGAATTCGGAAAATGGGAAAAAACCAAAAAACGCGCGAAAAGCAAGCTAGCAAGCCGGTGGATTTCAAGGACACTGATATTTTGAAAATTTTGAATTGAAAACCGAACGGGTTATCAACTCGATGGTTATCAATCTTGGATTTCAAGTGTAAAATGGTGTAAAGTGTAATCACAGGAATGTCAAGTCAGTCAAGTCAATAGTCATTGAAGGTTGAAGTGGTTCCTCTCAATCTTTTGCTTAAGAACATACCTACAGTCATTCTGACAAAAACTCAATCTCTTCGTCACTTCGATCTCTTTGTTTTCCTTTACTGAAGAAGTTTTTACCTTCACTACCTGTGTAGGTACTCAGTGTTTTTTAATACGATTCTGCGCTTCCACCCCCAAAATGCTGATTGCATACCTTCAAAAAGTAATCATCAACAAGCACACCTTTCACGCGGCTCTCATCATCCGTTTGCTGAATTTAGCCATCGTCCAGTCTTGGTTTTCCCCCGATGAGTATTGGCAGTCATTGGAGGTTGCCCATAAATTTGTTTTTGGGTTTGTATTTTAATCTCTTTTGCCTTGCAGCAGAAAAATACTCTAATCTATTGCTAGCTCTACCGAAGCTCATACTTATCCATGGAGTTATATTGAGTCGCTGGTTGGCGGTACCGGAGTATCGATGAGGCGATGAAATCACATTTTCAGGCCGCTTATTTCCGTTCTTCTGAGACTTTTGTGCGGCATCTGGTAATGCCACTGACGCTCCTGTGATGCAGTGAATGTAGCACTGGCTCTATCAGCAGGAGGTTCTGGGCTCAATTAAAAAAAGAAATGCCGTATGCGTAGTATTTTCACATCTTTTGGAACCCTGGTAAAAATTGGCAGCAGGATCTGTGTTCCAAAATTCTATAGACCTACAGCTGGCTGTAAGATTTTCTGTAGCTTCTATAGCCGGCTATACAATTTCTTGTAGCCGATGGCGATGAACTGTATAGCCCGATAATAAGAACTGTATAGCCCGGCGATAGGAACTGTATATCCCGGTGATAGAAACTTTACAGCCCGGCGATAGGAACTGTAAAGCCCAGCAATCTGAACTATAGCCCGGCTGTATAATTTTTTAACGCTTCGTATAGCCGGGCTGTATCATTTTCTTCGCTTTCTACAGTCAGCTATATGATTTTCTATTGCTTTCTATAACTGGCTGTAAGAACTCCTATGGTGTTTTGAAAGTAACTCCTATTGCCAATTTTTACCAGGGAATTTAGTAATAAAAAAAAAAAAAATAAATAAAAATGAGTAGGTACCCTCAGAGCAACGTTCTAGCACTGTCATGGTTGTATGCATTTGGAAAGACCTCTAGGAATTTAATGAGAAAAAATCCCTCACTAATCATTAGTTTAGAGGAATAGCTGGTAATTAGCTCTTAACAATGTTGTTAGTGTAAATTTCTTTTTGTAGGTACCTACTGTTTAGTTAATTTGTGAAAAATAAAGAAATTGAAAAATTATTGTATTTATTTTTCCAGGAATGGTTATTTGACGTGGGAGTGGCAGTATGGCATCAGAAGTTATGCATATGTTGCTTTCATTTCCCTTATTTACAAGATTCTTCGAGTATTGCATCTGGACTCCGTTTTCCTCTTGGTAATACGGTTTTTTAGTCAGCACTCAATATTCAATTATTCAATCAGAGAAAATATTGATAGCTGAATTGAAAAGCTTAGAATTTTATCCAAGCACGTTTGACTTAGCAAGGTCAAAGCTTTCCCCCAATTATTAATGTCGGTAAGCTTAAAAAGAAATCTCTAAACTTTTAACACATAATTGTCTGGAGATGTAATTGAATCTGAAGATCAGTGGTTCTTTGAATTTGAGGAATGGAATAACATTCTTCCACCTGAAACTGATCAAAGTATGTAGTTTGTGATATTCCATCCATTTTCCATCTGAACTGTATTCTAGGGAATCGTTCCTGTCCATTTTCATTTGTTTTGTCCTCAATGCTTTGAGGTGATCAGGGTCCTCTTTTTTTTTTCTTTAAAGTTCTTATCATGTTGAAATGACTCAAGAATTATTTAATCTTCATTGTTTGAAATATGTTAGAGTTAATCTTTTTTTTTCCGTTTGCAGACTAATGTTCCTCGGATCCTTCAGGCTGTTTTCAGTGCTTATGCTGACTCATGTTTTGTAGAATGGGTTCGACGGGAAACAAACCTGAAGCAAGGGGCTTTTGCACTTTATGCATACTACACTTCTTGGTTTATAGCCTTCTGTTCGACGCGGACCTTAATTAACACAGTTGAATTGAATGTCACTGCAATCGCTTTACTTTACTATCCTTTTAAGAAACAACACAGACCAGGTTTGTACTGAACTTATCTAAAAATACAGCTTATTGGAGATTGAATGGACCACTTTTTGGCATAAGGACCTAATATTTCTAACTCATTTTAAAAATAACATCGATGGCCAAAGTGCGGAACTATGTGGCTTAACTGCGGTGTCTCAAAATTTCCATTCCTAGTTTATTTGTTTGATGAGAAACAAGCCAACTTTATGCTTGAAATTTATTCAAAATATTCTGCTATAGAGAAGAAAAATCAAGGAAGTTTTTAAGAAATTATATCGACTAGTTCTGTTAAAAAAAAAGTAAAGAATGACTAGAAATGACTTTTTCTTTCATGAAAAGTTTTTTTCCTCTTTTTCAGTATTGTCATTTATTCTACTCATATCCAGCCTCAGCATCAATTTTACAATTGATTTTGATTTTTTCCTTTTAGATTCTCGGTTTTTGTGGTTTGTAAGTTTCCTGTGTTTAATGCGCCCAACTGCCGCAATCGTATGGCTACCGTTATGTGTCTTCCACCTATTAGAAGTTGAAAATAGTTTGGCAGCTCTGATCACATCTTATTTGCCGATTGGGTGAGTTTATTAAAATTTCTATCAGTAATCGAATCAACTTAACTTTTTGTGATAGAAAGTGAAAGAAAAGAAGAAAAAAAAATACAGAATTTACTATACTGAATGTAGTGGTAAGTTCAATCATTTCCATAAGGCGTTTCAAATTTCTGGGGCCTATTTTATTTTCTTGAAGAGAAACAAGTTAACTTTATGGCTTGAAATTGGTCCAGAAAATTCTGCTAACAGAGCCGAAAAATCAAGGAAGTTGAAATGATGTCGACTAGTTTTCCAAAGGAAAAATAAAATATGACAAAAAGTCTGCAAACAGAGACACACAGTTTCGAACTTAGACCATCAATTTTTGTATTTAGAAGCCCATGGTAGGCTTATGGCTGGAACAGCCAGGTATTTAATTAATTTAATAAATAATTTATAAGTAGTTAATTACTATTAATACAATAAATTAATTGTAATAAGTATAATTGTTTTGGAACATTTCCTGTATAAGGGACAGGCATCTCACGTACCTCAAAAATGCGTCAGTTTTTCCTCTTATTTTATGAGCTTTGTGTGTATTTTTAAACTCACCTTAAATTATGTCTATGATTTCTTTTTATTTATTTCTTTTACCTACTTAGTTAGTCTGTTTGTTTTTGTTTTATTTTTTTGAGTTTTCCACTCACAATTGTATATCTTTTATTTTTCCTAATTCAAAAAATTATTAAAAAGTCTCATTCTCAAAGTTTAGTGCTTGAAATTGCCAAATTATAAAGTAACTGTATAGGGAATTAAACACAAGGGGGGAAACAAATAAAAATAATGTAAATAAAACGGATAGGTTTCATTTTAGTATGTATCAAAGGCCTTCGGGCTATGGCCTGTCCACCATAATAAAATAACTTGATTTAAAAAAAAAAGAAAAAGAAAAAAAAAAGTAACTGTATGCTTTCTATCAGCTAAAAAATAAATAATATTACTCACAATTTACTTATTCATTTCTCAACATTCACAGGAAACTACAGATTTTTCCATTGAAATCTCAAAATCTGATTTTTTAATCGATTCTTCAATAATGATTTTCTCACTGAGAATTTTACTTCCAGGGATGAAAGTCCCTTTTCCTGGAACAGTCACAAAGAATGTTGCCTTAATTAAGGACAAGGAATGAAAAATAATAGTTGTCTGAAGCCCTCTATTTTAAAGTTCAAATTTTAATCAAATTAACCATAGTTTTTCTCTGTTTCAGTTTAACAGCCCTCACCATCTCAACCCTGTTGGACTCATATCTTCACGGTAGCCTGGTCTTCACCAGCTTCAACTTTTTTTGGTTCAACATCTTTCATAATATTGGAGTGCATTACGGGTCGCATTCCTTTCATTGGTACCTCACTCAAGGATTGCCTGTCGTCTTGGGTCCCTTCCTTCTCCCTCTAATCAGAGGTCCAATCGAGTTTACGCCCATTTACAGAAAGTTGACTTTATCTATTCTATTTTCTGTCCTGATTTTAAGGTGAGTTCTCTCAAAAGCTTGTTGTATGTAATGTTTTATTACAATAATTATTTTCTTGGGCTAATCACTGCAATGGGCAAATGTTGATGGGACAATATTTGCATTCAGACCAACTAATTTATCGGGTGAAATAATGTGACAGGCGAATCGGTAATTCAGTTGAATTAGGTGTGAACGCAAACAAAATGGGTGCATCGTCCCAAAACTTTGGTTGATTAAGTATGATACAATCAGCGGAACTGTTTTTCCTCTATCTACTGATGTTTTTTTTAAAGTGCCGATTCTTTGTCTTTTAATTCATGACCTAATAGTCTGTAGTTATAGAGATAGCTACCATATTGGCAGTGAAACTACAAAAATGTGTATCTTGCTTGTGGTGTTTCCACATCTCCGCTCTTATTTTATTTCTTAAAGGGAGACTGAGCCAACATCATGGCTTGAAATTTTCATTGAGTATTCTTTACGTGAAGAAGAAAAATCACCGAACTTTTCAAGAAATGTCGTTTAGTAGTTTTCCATGTCGGAAATAAAGACAGATAGGATGTTTAAATTGCCACAAACCAAGGTACACATTTCTGCAGTTTCACCATCGATATGCTGTAAATACTACCATCGTCGCACTTACAAAAATTACTACCCAAAATTAAAAAATATGTACTTGTGTGTGGAGCCAGTTAGAAAAACAGAGTTATTGTGGTCTACTGTTCTTCTGGCGAAGTTCTTTTTGTATTGCAGTTAACACATGTTCAAATGTTACCACAAAATATCCGTATCTTCATCCTTAAGAGTCACATGTTTTTTTTTTTTTTTTTTTTTTTTTTTTTTGGAAGGTTAGGAAGGACCCAACTGTAATGACAACTAAAAGCAAAATTTAACTTTTTCCAAAAGGTATTTTGCTTTTAACACCCTTCTCAACCTACACCCTCTCATGTGATAGTAAATACTCTATGAGTCAATTGCGCTGGTTCTAGAATCGTCTTTTGATGCTTGATTCCCGTAGATTAGCTGGAAATAATAAGATCTGGCCAGACAGCAACTTTCTACGTTCAATATTAACCAAGATATTGAGCTTTGAAACATTTGGTTTATGACGTCATCCACCACGGTAGTGACACCTTTGGTTTCTTCCACCTTGCTTTCATCAGTCAGGGAAGTACACATTTGCTCTGGTTACTCAACGTTTGACACGGATGAAAGCAAGGTGGTAGAAACTAAGGGTGTTACTACGGCGGTGGATGATGTCATAAACCAAATTTTTCAAGGTGTGATATCTCAGTTAATATTGAACATAGAAAGTTACTGCTTGGACAGATCCTGTTATTTTTAGTTGATCTGCAAACATCAAGCTTCAAAACACGATTCTGTGACCAGTTCAACTGACCCATTAATGTTTTCTATGCCCCTGTGAAACAAAATTCCAGTGACAAAAGAAAACCCTCCTCTCACAGGAAGCTAATGCTGTTTTTTGTTGCAGCCTGATACCTCACAAAGAATTCCGCTTTCTACTGCCTCTTATGCCTGCTATGATGTTCATCCTTTCAAACCGATTGTTCACATGGTTCAGACGCATAAAAAATCAGTGAGTCCTCTTATAATTAAATAGTTTTAAATTTTCAAATATTTGGTATATTTTAATGCCTACCTTGGGGTCATGTAATAATGTACATAATTCATTTTTGGAAAGAGAGCCAAAAATGAGAATGCCTACTTTTTCCCCGTTTTTTCTGCTTAATTAAATTTTTGCCAAGAAAACGACTCTTCATGCATCAATAATTCAATCCAATTTCAACCAGAAAAATATTTTCCCAATAGATTTTTTTGTCTTTTCATATGAAGAATCAATCTCTGCGTTGTAACGTTGTAACGAGAGATTATGGAGCCCTGTCAAAACCATGAGTTGTTGCCTCATATTATGTTCTACGCTTCAGGCCAATCAAAAACGTTCTTTTCATAATATTAACTTCTAGAGCCTCCTCTATGTAGTTCAAAAAGATGTTTGGAAATTTTGACTCTCAATCAGTTGAACAATGTCGTAATCTCCCCAAATTCAATATCTGATCAACTTTAGGAGGAGGCACATCTTAATTTTTTGTGAAATAATTTGTTTATAATCCTCTTCTGTTTTTCCAGGAATTTTGCTAATTTACTCATCATTTGTGCAGCCATCATTAATTTCGGGACGCTGATATTCTTTGGTATGTTTCATCAAATTGGTGCGCTAACAATTTTAAACAAAGTGCCTGTAAAACCGAATACAAACCTCCTAATTCTAACTCCCTGCCATTCGACGCCTCTATACAGGTAATAAAACATCTTCAAAAAAAGAGTTTATCCGTCTTTTTAACTTTTTATTTTTTTAAATTTTGTAATTTTTAAAAAATATTTTGTTTGCTGGATTTTCTTTTTAATATTGGCTTAAAAATGTTCTCTTGTAGATTTAGTCAGAATAATTCTAGCCTTTCTTTTATTTTAGACATGTAAACATTTTTACTTCACCTATGCAAATCTTCAGAGGTTCATAAAAAAATCATTTCATTTCCTAGGAGATCGGTTTTTAATATTTTTTCTCTAGGAATAATAAAAGAAAACAATAATATTATCAGTTGGACGTATCGTGTGGTTTTTCTATGTTTGCAAATCTTTCACAGGGTGCCAGCAAGTGTAGTTTTTTTGGAAAATCATTTTCAAACTCGAATCATTTCACAGATTATCACCCTAAGCAATCAACCAATAGCATTATTTTACTTCAGAATAGTCTTATTCAAACTCACCCTGCGTGTACAGAAAGAAGTGTCTTAGCTATCTACAAACTGTTATTAGTGGCACACTACCTCTACTGCAACCCATTTCCTTCTTATCCAAGTGCAATCTGCAAAAAAGTTGAATTTTTGCCTCCAAATTGTAATCTCTGGCTTTTCTCTTTTTCTTTTCAGTCACATCCATGCAAACATTTCCATTCGATTTTTAACATGTGAGCCGAACTTGAAAACTTTGCCCAACTATTCGGATGAAGCAGACAGATTTTATGAGGATCCTTTGAAATGGCTGCATGAAGAATTCAAGAATGGAACAAATTTACCCTCGCATATCATATCCTTTGAGAGGTTGAGTGACCCTATCCTGCCATTTTTGCATTCTAATAGCTATCGATTGATCGAGCGGATATTTCATGCAGTTTTCTCCCCCGATGATAGAATTTCATCGCATATCTGTCTCTTTGAGAAGTACCGATAGCTCTAAAAGCAAAGTTTCAATTCAAAATAACTAAATGCACTCTGGGCTGAGCCCATAAGTTTTGTAAATCTCAATGGATTGTCAAGTTGGTGTTTCTCACTGAACAGAAATGTCTGTCTGAAGGAGGCACTCTATCATGGAGTCATTCTCAGTCTTGCATCTCCTTCTTTAAGGCTTTTTGGCATCTTCCTTGCAGGTAAGACAGTATATCCACTTTTTTCAACACTGTTCATCTTATATATTCGAATTCTCTGCTCTTCCCAAACTCTTTGTCAGCATAGTCATTGTTTCTTTTTTTATGCTTGTTCATAACACATATTTTTTCTTTCTCATCTTGGTCTCAGTGAAAATCGATCAAATTTTGTTGGGTCATTCGAATATTACACAAGGCATTTTTGTCGATTGTTTATCCAACTTCCTCCCCTTTGGTGCCTTACAAAATAGTAGAAACATCTTTACCTGCATCGAGTTGTCACGTTTTGTTCAAGTAGTTTTTTGTTGACATCATATTCGATATCATGGCCAAGCAGCTTGTCTTTTATGGTCATGTAAACAGGTTGACGGAAAAAAGGCTGCCGAAGAAGATGCTTGATTAGGTTTTTCCTGGGAGGAGACAAAGGACGCCCAGTGAAAGGGTGGCGAAGGGTGGGGTTATAGAGGAAATGAAAGAGTGCCGACTCCCTGAAGGGCCTTGGGAGGATAAGGGACTTTGGCAACTGGGTGTTGCAGAGCGCCAAAGAATGCTGTAAAAGCGGTTTTTATGTATGTAGTTTTCCTTTTCAAATTGGAAGTAGCATAACCTAGAATCAAAAGCTGGCAATCTTATACTTCTCCCACGCGGTAATAAAAAATATGCTGCAGCCACAAGGAAGCGTTTCAGCAGCATAGTTCATTTTCAGGTGCGCATAAGTTCATCTCTTGTAAAAAGGTAGCACCACTTTTTCCAGAATAAGTTTTTTAGACATCAATCTTTTGATGTGCCCAGACTTTCTGAAATTGAGATTCTGAGAATCACAATGCCTGAAAGACTGATACTATGTCTGATGAATAGTGGCTTACATTTGTGGCTCCTTCAGGAAGAGATTCCTAAGTGCAAAAAGGAAAACTTGTCAATGTGAGGATAAATTCCACCAAGTCAGGTCAAAAATCAGAATTGGACTTTTCAACAGAGACTGCTCCTTAGGATCCCAAAAACAAGTTGCGAGATGTTTAAAGTCATTTTTGTGCCAAAAACAGAAGACATTGCATTTTAATCCAACAATTTGAAGCCCCTAGTACCACAGGTAAACCTTTGAACAGCTCTCTCTCAAAACTCAATCAGGAACAACGAACGTACTTAAATGTCAATGGCCGAAGTGCGTATCTCCGTTTGCAGCATTGCAGACTTCCTGTTATACTTTATTTTTTCTTTGGAAAACAAGGAAACGTAATATCTTTTAAACTTCCTCGATACTTCCTCTCTTTATCAGAATATTCCATAGAATTTCCAAGGCATAATGTTGGGTTGTGTCTCTATGACTAATTTAAGTAGGAGCAGAAATTTTGAAACACCAAAGTAGAGATGTGTAGTACAGCACTTTCACCATCGATATATGGCGCGTTAGGTCGCGACTGCAGTCCATTCAGGGGCTTCTGATTAGACGGCTAATTTCTGAATGTTTTCCGTCCAATTTTGCAGAGAATTTTCTGTCAATGTAATCTGAAGTATCTGAGCCAAAGGTGTCTACCTTTAGTAAAAAGCGGAAAATATCAGGAAAATCTATCATAGATCCGAAAATTCTGATCGGTGAAACTTCTCTTAACTTCATGAACATTTGAGCCAATTCATTAAATCTATCAGTTTGTAAAATTGAACGAGTATCAATGTACTCCTGCGAATCAATCAGAAAATCTCTTTTAAAGTATCAGGAAAATTCGAAATGAAACTCTAGTAAACATTGCGGAAAAGGTCAAGTAGGAATGTGCATAATTCTTCCTAAAAGTTAATATTTTATGAGGGTATATTTGGCAGTGTGTCAATGCTCACATGACGTTTTTCCTTAGTTCAACAGGGAAGATGTAAGCTAACAGGCTCGACAAACATGACTATTATGAGACCAACGATTGGCGACTAATCCGATTTTGAGAATCTACGAAAATTCGATGAAGAAAATTTCTATGAAAATTCGGAAAATGTCGAATTTTCGCCCCGTTAAAATTTCGACGAAGAAGCACGTGTGTCTGTTAGTAGGTTTGACCCGTTGTTGAGTCTGAGTCGATCAGTGGCGAAGCGTTAATGATCGAATATCGATATTTCCCTATTTGAAGCTATGGTAAAGAATCGATTATTACAGTGTTGGTTGCAAACACCCTGTCAATCGATCCTTTTCCATGGGTTTAAATGACAGATCAATCGATGTATCGCATCTATCGATGACTCGAGCGTGACCCTTTCCACCGCGCACTGAGCGGCAACGTGGCCGTTCACTTTTTCCGGCCAGGATTTATAGTTGAAATATCTATCCAAGGCCAATGTCACTCCGGAGGCAACTCCTGTCGGGTAAGGATAACGGATGCTCGAAAAATGAACGGTGCCAATCGAATCCACTCGCGGAAGTCCCCTGATTTTCTGCCGTGCCAAGCCAAAACGCCGTATGAACCCTCAGATGTTGCCAAATTTCCTTCGATAAAACACAAATTCCCTGGTAAACTTATGAATATTTTTCTTCCAATTTTTCAGAAAATATTGTTTGTATTTTGATCTGAAGTTCCTGAAAATTTCAAGGAAAAATATTCATAATTTTCCTCAAAAATAAACATTTGATCAAAAGAAATTTGGCAACTCTCGAATGTGGATACGGCGTTCTTCCTTAGCACGACCGTATTCGCGCGAGAGCTCACGGACGCAAAAATCGAACTACGATTTCTCACACAGTAAGAAAAAGTAACCGACTTGTTATGTTAATACAGGAAATAGAGCATGAAGTAACCTAAACATGGGGTGCCACACACGGGAGGGATGAGGCGCCCAAAAGTGAGGCTCTGCTGCGCGCGCACGTCGCATGTTTGGATTGTAATTTCGCGGCAGATTCGAACCTAAGGGGCGAGTTCCATAATACATTCTTCTCAAATGCACAGTATTAAAGTAAAAAAAGTCCAGAGTTTTAATCACGATTACTTTAATTAAATTTAACCTCTCGTAAATCCATACGTAAAAAGGGTTTCCTTCTCCGTAAATTTTAACAGTTTTATAGTGAGTTTAGTGATTAAAATTTACAATTTTTAGGAGATTTTTTAAAGTTCTTACTACAAGGGAATGTCTTGGCGAAGATTCTTTACTTTAACTCGCTTGCTCTTGACTTTCACATGGATGAAGCTAGCAGAACTTTTCGTGGAAGGGAGGGGGAGGATACGCTCCCAGGTCGCTCCCTCAAAAAAAGAAGAAAAACCGCAACAATGATGCTGTGGGATGTTTCTTTTGGGGGGGGGGGGGAGCCTCTCGAGAAGGACTGGGCAGTGGGCTCCTCTGATGCCAGCTTTGCTCTCTCTCTCTGATATTTTGGTACCCTGCTACGAAATTTCTTTTCCATTTTACTGTTAGCCTTTCATCCTTACTGCTACACGAATTGTTAATTTGAGAGAATAAGATTGAAGGAAATTCATTTGTGAGCTGTCTGGAAAAGAGAATTGGACGTATTTATGCTACAAGGAAATATGTGCAAATGAGTGAAAGCAAAAAGATTTTTCAAAAGAAATTCAAAAGAAAAGCAAAATTCAAAATGTAATAATTCATACAAATTACGAATTCAACAAATATTGCCATTAATACTTTAATCATCACTTAATCAGAATACTGCTTCTTGAGCACACTGATGGCCTAAGTCCAAAAACATGCATTTTGGATTCAAGACGTTAGTCATTTTCCAACATGTTTATTTTTTCTAAGGAGAAATGATCCCAGTTTTCTCTTTTAATTTCCGTTGATTTCTCTTCAAGACAGAAAGAATATCCTGTAAAAATTTCAGACGTTTTTCTGCAAAGATACTCAGGAGACACATACATTTATTAAACTTAGTAATTGAGGTAGGTACCTATGTGTTTCTAAATGTAGGTACGCTATAGCAATAGACTTATGCCTATAATCATAATTATAGCGGGTGCAGGTACCTATTGCTTTTATCGAGGAAATATTGTTTGAGATTTTTGAAGCTTAAGGATTTAGAAAAGAGACGAGAAAGTGCTAAAGTAAAATTGAACGTATTTATGCTGAGAAGAATTATGCGAAAATAAATCGAATCAAGAGGATCTATGTGCATAGGGCTCACAAGCTACACTAATCTTTTTGCTTTCACTCATTTGCACATATTTCCTTGTAGCATAAATACGTCCAATTCTCTTTTCCAGACAGCTCACAAATGAATTTCCTTCAATCTTATTCTCTCAAATTAACAATTCGTGTAGCAGTAAGGATGAAAGGCTAACAGTAAAATGGAAAAGAAATTTCGTAGCAGGGTACCAAAATATCAGAGAGAGAGAGCAAAGCTGGCATCAGAGGAGCCCACTGCCCAGTCCTTCTCGAGAGGCTCCCCCCCCCCACAAAAGAAACATCCCACAGCATCATTGTTGCGGTTTTTCTTCTTTTTTTGAGGGAGCGACCTGGGAGCGTATCCTCCCCCTCCCTTCCACGAAAAGTTCTGCTAGCTTCATCCATGTGAAAGTCAAGAGCAAGCGAGTTAAAGTAAAGAATCTTCGCCAAGACATTCCCTTGTAGTAAGAACTTTAAAAAATCTCCTAAAAATTGTAAATTTTAATCACTAAACTCACTATAAAACTGTTAAAATTTACGGAGAAGGAAACCCTTTTTACGTATGGATTTACGAGAGGTTAAATTTAATTAAAGTAATCGTGATTAAAACTCTGGACTTTTTTTACTTTAATACTGTGCATTTGAGAAGAATGTATTATGGAACTCGCCCCTTAGGTTCGAATCTGCCGCGAAATTACAATCCAAACATGCGACGTGCGCGCGCAGCAGAGCCTCACTTTTGGGCGCCTCATCCCTCCCGTGTGTGGCACCCCCTAAACATGTGGGTGATATGTTTAGGTTAGTTTTTCTTTGAGTTATATCCACCAAATCTATGGGTTTTATTGACCGATTCTTTGAGCGGAAAATTTGCATTTTCGTTGAAAAAACAGCCGCGAACACACCAATGCGCC